GACGTCCATAAAGGATAACCTTTATTTTGGTCTAATAACTTTTTGGTCTATTTTATATAAATAAAAAATTATTTAACAAAATAAACTCACTCTAAGTACGAATTTTGACTTATTGGGTGGAAAAAACGTTGTAACCAATGTTACAATATTGAAAAATTTTATTATTGATAAATATATTATATTATAAAAATATTGTAACACTATATACAATGTGTGTCTCGCAAAATTTATTTTGTAAATTTTTAGAACTTTATTTTAAGACTTGCGATAGGTAGTGAAGGTAGTGAAATATAGACCAGGGAAATAAGCAAAAAAAATACCCTGTTTGTGACACTCATTCGGCCAGGCAACCGACAGTTGTTTTGAGTAGTATGGACCCCTGTAACAAGAACCTACTCGGGTGAATTGATATAAAACTAGCCTTTGATAGAAAAAACAAGTTTTTTGGAATTAAACCGATTTATTTCTTAACATAGTCCCCTTTTCAGCTCGATACACTTAGTAAGACAATGTTCAAATTTTTTTATCCCATCCGAATAGTACTTTTGCTCGAGCTCTTCGACTTCATTGTTTGTTACGAAACGGCGTCCACCGAGTCATTTTTTTAGATTTGGAAACAGGAAAAAATTACTGGCGGCAAGATCTGGAGAATATGGTGGATGTTTAACCAATTCATAGCCCAATTCGTTTAATTTTGCCATGGCGAAGGCCGATCGGTGAGCCGGCGCATTGTCTTGGTGAAAGAGCACTTTTTTGCGTTCCAAACCGGGGCGTTTTCGACGCAATTCGGCATCGAATCGATCCAACAATGCTGCGTAGTACTCACCATTGATTGTTTTTTCCTTTTTCTAAGTGGTCGATGTGGATGATGCCCTTCGCATCCCAGAAAACAGTCGCCATCACTTTGCCGGCCCAATGTGCACTCTTTGCATTCTTCGGCGGCCCTTTGCCACGTTTGCGCCACTGTTTTGAGTGTTCTTTGGTTTCCGGTGTTTAATAATGCACCCAGGTTTCATCAACGGTGATAAATCGGCGAAAAAAATCCTTCGGATTATCGCCAAAAGCGTCTTCCGCGATTGTCAGCAAATGTGGCACCCATCGCGTGGGTAGCTTTTTCATATCCAAATGATGGTGAATGATGTTGTTTACACGTAATTTGCTATGCGTTCGCGATCTGCCATAATCAAATTTATTTTTTCGAATTTCATTTTTGCGGGTTGCGGAATTGATACGTCTTCCATTTTCGAATGAAAAGCTTAAATGACATTTTTTCGTATTTTCAGTTTGAAAAGTGCCCCAAGGTGATTGACATTTTGGAATTTTGTAAAAAAATTTTTTATTCGACAGAGTCAACGATAATGTTTTTTATTCATTTATTTGAGCTATTAGATTTATAAATAATACGAAGAAAAAATAGTTAACACAAAATAAAAAAATATGCTGACAAATTCAAGAATAATATAAAAAATCATTATAAATGATAGTCTTTCTTACTGTCAAATTTAGGCATCAAAAGGCATGATTTCGGTTTATTCCTAATAAATCCATCTCTACTCTGTGGTCCACAGACGGCAGCACTTGTTTCTGTAACTAATTTGACACACCTTTCAGTGGATTATGTGTAACACGGAATTTTTCTAATATTCTTCAGGATTTCATTTTCGACAAGCTGTGGCTTTATAATGGCCTGAGATAATATTTCGGTACTGATACTCTTCGTTGGTGGAGGTTCTGTCTTGGTTTTCCAATCTATCATATCGATATAATTATGAGCATCCATATTTAATGTAGGTACTTGAATAATACGCAAGGCTCCGATGTTTCATGTCTCTCTGATCTTCAATATTCTGCGGAGTGCAAGTTCTCTGACGTACTGTTTGTTGTTGGCTAACATTCCTAGTAGTAAATTCTCTTAATGTCCAAAGAATGCATTTCTCTGTATGACTGGGTCAATAATATTCTTCAAATGGCTAGGAAAATAGCGCGACAGTTTTATCGTATCATATAAATGTTTGGCACCAAAAATACACATTGGCTCAGTCTTGATCCTGAACCACATAGGAGCATAGACCGTTAAAATAAATGTGCTTAGTTTAATTAGGTTTTCTGACAAAGTTTCACTTGAGACATAATATAATCTCAATATCCGCTTCGCCATTGTCAACCATTTAGAGTGAACTAGTTTACCAGGATTTTTTTTCGCAAAGTTTTCATCACAATGTCCACTATTGATATACTGACATATTTGTAGTAGATACAGTTGATCGGTGCTTAACTCTTGTGCCGATTTGGTAATATCGGGTAACGCACATTTAATTGCATCAAACGGAACAACATAAATTCGGGAAAAAATAATCGTGTTAAATTATCTAAATATTTAGGGCTGATTGTTCGAACGCTAATCAAAACTTGATTGTAATCAAATATTTAATTACAAACAAATACGTCACAGCAGCTGTCAAAATTATTAAAAATTGCTTATTATTATTATTGATTTGTAAATAAAAACATGAAATTAACATCAGAAAGAGTTTAATAATGGTTTATTTTAAATAAAAACGCAAAATAATAAAATTGAATAAAATAAATCAGTCAACATAACCTCAAAATGTGATGTATTTGATTTTAATTAAATATTTTATTACAATCAAGTTTTGATTAGCGTTCGAACAACTGGCACTTAATGTAATGAAAGTAAAAATAAAATTATAACACAAAGCTCCCAATTGACGCTTCATTTTTCATATTTAGTATTCAAAATAGAATTTTTTGAATAAAATTCAGAAAAAAAAGTTTGTCTAATTAGACCATTATTTTGAAAACAGTATCAGATTTTAAACTTGAAACGACAAATAAAATATTTGAGATAACAATTTTTATTACCGACGAGATATTTTATTAACCCTTTGGGACCCAGTGGGACTCATAGATCCCAGCGACAGTTTCAATTTGCTTGATGTTCCAAATAAGTCCCGTCATACATTATATTCTTCGATATCGGTTTTATCGACTACACTGCACATTTTTCTCTACTAAAGTGATATTGGCAACGTTGGATGGCTCAGTTCGTTCGTAAGTACGACGCAGTTAACACGTGGTTCTTACTTTTCGACGTTTTTACAGTTAAAACAACCTTACACGATCGTAAGGTAGGTTTGTTGTTTACTGTATGTAATTTGTCTACACGTTAATCTGAGATTAGTTTACTTTTGTAAATTGGCAAACTCACATCAAAAATCACATGGGATTTATGTGTCCCACTGGGTTTATTGGGTGGGCCTTTTTTATCCCATTGGATTTTTCAGCATGTCAAGAAAAAGAAAACTTACTCAAAAGGAATTGCAAGAACTGGCTGATAATATAAGAAACAAACATATCTTCATGCAACAACAGAGTGCCTAAATGAGACATTATTGGTCTTCGCATCCATCTGTCGGTAATAAAACGATAAGTACTGCAATATCAAAAACAGATGCTTATTCATTCTCTCCAAACCTTACTTCAATGGCCCAAAGAAACCCGAAAATTGCAGTAAGATATATTATGTAGAAGATTTGCTCTCCTGTTTCAAGTTCACATTTCATAAGTATCGAACCGACAGTACTAGACAATCAATCAACGAGAGTATGGTGAGGTTCAAAGGTCGGTCGTCCCTAAAACAATACGTACCTCCAAAACCAGTGAAGAGGGGTATACAACTATGGTGCAGGTGTGTTTCTAAGACAGGATACACATACGATTTTAACGTTCAATCTGGAAAGAAAGTTGAAAAAGCTGATGGAACTCTAGGTGAAAGAGTAGTAAAAACGCTATGTGAATCGATACGTATTGATAATGTTGTTGTGGCTTTTGACAGGTTTTTTACCTCTGTACTTCTAGTGGACACTATTAAATTCGCTGTAGTTGGTACAATCATTACAAATAGACGGAACATGCCTAAGGAGTTTTCTATAAAAAGCAAAATGAACAAGGGAGACTGTGTATTTCTAACAAATGAGTTCCAAACCCTAGCCACAAAATGGCAAGATACCAAACAAGTATCCTTGTTGAGTAACTGTCATAAGATTAGTTGTACAACTATTCAAAGAAAAAATAAAAGTGGGACCAAAGTGGACGTTCCTGGTCCTGCTGCTGTTGCTTTATACAACGAAATTATGGGTGGTGTGGACCTGGCTGACCAAATGAGTGAAGTGTATGAAATGGATAGACGATCCTGTAAATGGTGGAAAAAAGTTTTCTACCGATTGCTTAGGGTGTCAGTGGTAAATAGGATTTACATTGAACACGCAAGAAAACACCCCCTTTAGAAACTTTGTTTGAGCTATTAGAAGATCTCATTTCCAAAGGTAAAACCACTACACAAGTAAAACTTGGAAAAAGAAAGTTTAGGTAGACCTTCAAAGAGATCACGAAATAAAAATGTAGGAGACCACATGCCTATAAGAGACGGCGTTGTGTTGGTTGCTAAAGAATGGGTAAAGAAATAACCACAGCCATCTGCACAATGTGCGATGTAGGTTTGTGTAAACATTGTTTCACATTATATCATACATATTAAGTTACATGGAAGTATTTTTTATGCATATTTTTGTAAATCTTTCTGAAATAAAGTGTTCATTTATTTGTGGTCGTAATCTCCCATTATACCCTACGGGAAATAATAATCCCAACCAACGTTCCCATTGGGACATATGTATCCCACTATTTTTTGTTTTTTATGTAAAAATTTGGTTTGGTACACTTTAAAAACCTTCTATGGTTACCAGTACAAAGAAATAATTAAAGTCGAGATCGTAACAACACAAAAAAATTGAGTCCCAAAGGTCACAACAAACCATTTTCGGATGAAAATAGCATAATTTTTAGCTTATAATTCTCTATCAAAACAATTTTAGCTAATGCCCTCGTGGCATGTTTGGCACTTGTCATTTTTATGCATCCCTTAATACAACTTTAAATATTGTTAAAAAAGAGATTCGTACTACAAAATGTTCACTTACCTTCTATTTCGTAGACCATATTCCAAGGAATACGCTTAAAAGAAAATATGGGAGTGATTCCAAACGATGAATAGTCCTGACTTATAAATTGTGCACAAACGATATGAACTGCAACGTAATACCATGATTCCTCATATTTGTATTAATTATTTATAAAAATTGACGTTTGAATACACTGAGCAAACTTGAACTCTCAATACATTGTTAATATAGATAAGTGATCTGTAATGATATAGTTGACTTTATGTAATTTTGTGTACAATCTAGTAAGACTCACTTATTGTGTGTTTTAGTTTTCATTATAATAATTGTTCTCCGAAATATAATTTATAGTTACATTGTATATGATTGTTTACGTATAAGTTGTTTTTTGTATTTTATGTTTAAGGATCTATGGATCCAAGGAAAAATTGGACGGCGTTAAGCAGAAAGCTACCAACCCTCATTAGTGACAAACTGAGATAATCAAAATTAAAGTTTTTATTAATTTAAAAAATCTGTAGGATATATTGCAGCTACTTTGTTATTTTTTTTACTATGAATCGTTATTTTGATATTTTGTACATGTTTAAATATTTTAGTTCACAACCTGTCATTCACTAATTAAGTCATCACTTATACCAGCCGTCAGCAGCGTTCATACTGGCGAATTATTTAGTATACTTCAAGCTTTTAACCATATATCTCTACCTAATAAGCAGGTTGCCATATGCACAGACTCTTTAGCATCAATCCATTCTATCGAAAATATATTTACCGATCATTCAATCGTCCAAAAGATCCTAGACTCTTACCAAATTATCTTGTCCCAAAATATAACAGTTACCATAATTTGGCTGCTATCTCATATTGGTATAGAAGGCAATGAAACTGAAGATCACTATGCTAAACTTGTTACAGTATCTCCTGAAATCACCGATAAAATTCAAATTTGTAAGGACCTAAAATCACATACTAAAAGAAGAACCAGACTCCTTTGGCAGCAGCATTGGAACTCTAATCGTTCGATCTTACACGAAATACAACCGTCAATAACCAGTCAGCCTACATTTGACTATTCAGCCCTCTCAAGACGAAATCCTATTGTGATAAGACGACTTCGGATAGGACTTTCCAAAATCACACAAGGCAACCTAATGTCCTCTAGTATCTGTACTTTCTGTCAAAGCTGCCAACGATATGTGACAATCAAACATATTCTCACTAAACGCCATCAACATTCGGCCAGAAGATTACAATACTATTACGATTTTAAATGTTATGGCGTATAGAACTTTAAATATTTTATGACTAATTCTTTTTTATTGATTCTCGTAATTTGTAGGTCAAAATCTACCTGAGATACGTTGGGTTCCCCTTCGCTATAAAAGCGACGAATAAGAGTTTTCTGGAATCGCACCGATACCAGTTTTTAGATCATTGCCGCTCTGTCTACGAGGGCCTCGTATTTACCAGTCTATTCGATGGGGTTCTGTTATAATGAAGAAGGCCATCGATCTTTCTAGATAACGGAAGTTTATGTATATAAACGAAACATTTTATTTGGAGAGTCAGTCGAAAAGAAGATCGCGATCTCGCGTTAAATTGTATCGAACGCAAATAAATTATTTGTAATTATTAAGTGTAAAATAAATTAGTATAAAATAAAGACTTTTGATAAATTATCGTGAGTTTTAATAAATTAGAATAAAGACAATAAATTAGAATAAAGGCAATAAATTAGGACTAATAAAAACATTACAATACATACTCAAAAGTGAAGTATGAGATATACTAAACAATCCTGACTAAATAAAAGCTTTGCTACAATTCCTTAGAGATGAACACTTATACCAAAAAATATAATTAGATTTTAACTTAGACATTGTGTAACATATTATTATCATTTCGTATTATTGTAACATATTTTAATGTAACACTTATTGTTTGTGTAATGAAAACTCATGTTATAGTACCTGTGTAAGTGGCCATAGTAGCCAAGCACGTTAAAATTGAAATAAAAAAAAATATTTTAGTTGTAAAATTAAAAAGAGAAACGAAAAATTTATGTGGATGGATAGGTTTTTGCAAAGTGAGAAATTAATACCAACAATATTAAATAAAAACAAAAGTAAAGTTAGAAACATTATTTTTATTTACCGAAAAGTTAGGATATGATTATTCAACGTATTAATTTAATAAATTTTAATGTTAATCTATGTCATTCACTTCAAAATCTTCAGTATTGACATTGGTAACATCTTCAGTTATATTGGCACTCAGGAATAAGGTGCATCATTTCCTTTAAATTTTGTAATTTCGCCTCAGCGATAGGCTTTCCGTTAGGCTACAGCTAGATTAAATCGCTAAATAATTCTTCTGTACCAGTTCTACCTCGAGAAGATTTCTCAATAGAAATTTTTTGATACGGTTGTGAAAAATTGTGTTGTATCATTAGCCGAAATGGGTCTTGCTTTTCTATTTTGATTGACCTAATCTTTAATCAATTTATTTCTTCTTTTTCTTCTGTCACTTTGCGATTAGTAGTTTTTTTAAATTTTCATTACGCTTAAAAAATCTTCGACGTGCATTTGGGTAACAAACAATGGTCTCTGCTTTCTGCAAGAATGCATTCTTCTTCACAACCATATGTGCAGCTTTGACAGGAAGGACAGATACTAGAGGACATTAGGTTACCTTGTGTGATTTTTGAAAGTCCTATCCGAAGTCGTCTTATCACAATGGGATCTCGTCTTGAGAGGGCTGAATAGTCAAATGTAGGCTGACTGGTTATTGACGGTTGTATTTCGTGTAAGATCGAACGATTAGAGTTCCAATGCTGCTGCCAAAGGAGTCTGGTTCTTCTTTTAGTATGTGATTTTAGGTCCTTACAAATTTTAATTTTATCGGTGATTTCAGGAGATACTGTAGCAAGTTTAGCATAGTGATCTTCAGTTTCATTGCCTTCTATACCAATATGAGATGGCAGCCAAATTATGGTAACTGTTATATTTTGGGACAAGATAATTTGGTAAGAGTCTAGGATCTTTTGGACGATTGAATGATCGGTAAATATATTTTCGATAGAATGGATTGATGCTAAAGAGGCTGTGCATATGGCAACCTGCTTATTAGGTAGAGATATATGGTTAAAAGCTTGAAGTATACTAAATAATTCGCCAGTATGAACGCTGCTGACGGCTGGCATAAGTGATGACTTAATTGTGGTACAGACGAATCCAGTCAATGGAACTCGTACTTATTATGAATTTATTTTTTTATTAGTTTGTAAAAGCTTTGGTTGCTAAGACATTAGCCAATGGCATAAGAATAAAGACGGCAACGGGTAACCACTGTATTAAAAATCGTAAGATATCCCTAGCCGAGGCATCATGAAATGAGAGGACAGAGTAAGCAAACGTGTACAGATCATGGGTATTGGAGACCAAGATCCGACAGGAAAAGAGTCAGGGCTTTTTAGGTTGTCAACCAGCGAAATCCCTACCAGAAAAAGAAAAAAGCAGACCGTTAATTTAAAATTGAAACGTGGAATGTGACCAGCATTTTTAGCTAGGCTTATAACAACAGACGGAAAGAAAACCACAAAACGTAAATTAGAAAACAAAAAACATAAAAATAGGCTTCTGTCACACAAATATTTTTTACCACTAAATGGTCAACTAGTTAACGTTTGTCAAAGTTGTTTTCTAAAAACTGTTAACGAAACAAAACGGTTTCTAACCGATGTGACAAAAAACAAGATTTCTTCAGCTTCTGCAATGCCACATGATGATTTGCGAGGTCTTACCTCACCATCTAACAAAACTCCCGAACAAGATATTCAATTAGTAAGAGTTTACATTGGATCAATCCCAACGTATGAGAGTCACTATTGCCGTCGTGACTCATCAAAGATATATCTTCCTCATTACTATACCTTAACAAGAATGTATGAAGAATACAAAAAATGGCTACCTCACAAGAAAACCCCAGTATCGAAATTCAAGTATCAAGAAGTATTCCATTCCATGGAAATAAAAATCAAACAGCCTAAAAAGGATACCTGCGCTACATGCGATAAATATCATATGCTCCTGAAAACAACTAAAGATGCACAAAAAATGCAAGAAACTCAAATTCTTTTTGATAATTACCAACAAGAAGCATCAAACGCTTATAAGGCTAAGCGTATAGATAAAAATGCTGCGTTAGAAAATGAATCAAAATTCATTTATACGTTTGATTTGCAACAGTGTCTCCCCACACCTCATCTTCAGACTTCAATAGCATTCTATAAAAGGCAGTTGTGGTCCTTTAATTTAACATTCCATAGATTTAATGATAATCAAGCAATGTGTTTTATGTGGCATGACGGCGTAGCTGGACGGGGTGTAAATCAGATTGCGTCATGCTTATACAAGCAGATTTCACATATTTCACCAGAAATAAAAGAGATCACCTTATATTCTGATCCGTGTGCAGGACAAAACAAGAACTCTTTTCTACCTGCAATGTTCATGATGGTTTTAAAAGAGAATCCCAATATATCATACATTAACCACAAATTTCTTGTTCCTGGTCACACCTACATGGAGTGTGATTCAGATCACGCAATTATAGAGAAAAAAAAAAAGAAAAGATATTCATGTTCGATAGAACACTCAAGAGACTGGATGAATTTGGTAAGATTATGTGGAAATAAGCGAACTTTTTAGTTACTGAAATGTGCAGATCAGATTTTCTTGAGTTTTCTTCTTTGTATAAGAATGTCCTTCAACAAAGAAAAATTAAGAACTTGGGAGAAAAAGTCATGTGGAAACAAATGAAATGGATGAGATTTTCACAAAATCCTGGTGTCCTTGAATACAAAAGTAGCTTAAATGTAGACGAACCATTTAAAAGCGTATGTTTTTTAAGAAAAGGTTATACGTGGCCTAAAAACATAAAAATTCCTCTGTCATATAAAGGTCCCAATCCAATAAACATCGATAAAAAAAAGAACTTGATAGAGCTATTGCCTTATATTTCAGAAACATTTCATGATTTTTATAGAAATTTAACTACGAAGGAGGATATACCAAATACGTTACCCGAGGATGAAAATAGTAGTGACGAGGAGAGTGTAC